TAACACCGTTCTTAATAGACATATCACTCACATGCAAATCCAAAACTGGTACATCAATATAATTCATTAATTCTGCATGATACTTGACAGAATTACAACTCGAAAAGAACACAATTATTTTTTTCTTAAGATTACGCTTAAGAAATGTAAATAGTAATAAGAATCGCTTGTCGCTATCGCAAACAACATAACCTTGAACAAGACCATCTACAGTAGATGTTTCTTTTTCTTTGTCAACATTTATATATAATGGTCCCGGCCTCAAGGATAATCGTGCTAAATCTTCAACTTTTGTTGTTTGTGTTGCAGAAAAAAGCATTGATTGTCGGTTTTCTATATATTGGTGAAAATTAAATTTAAAAAAATTACATTATAAATATTTAGAAGTTATTGCGCTAAATTATTTTAACCGTACCTTTTGGAAGAATCTTTATAATCTGTCTCATTTCATCTTCAAATCCAATTTCTAATATACGATCAGCTTCATCTATGATAAGAGCTTTGAGATTCTTGTATATAAAGCCTTTAGTATTCTATGAAAATAATTAAAAACAGTTATATTAATAAACTTATTTGTATTAAAATGAACAGGATATTTATGATTCAAAAAGAATAAACACCTGAAGATGATCTAATAGTCTTCCTGGTGTAGCAATCAGTAAATTCACACCTTTTTCTAATTTTTCTGCTTCTGCACGTCGATTAGCACCTCCCATTACAATACCAAACGTTTGACTATGTTGTTTTAGTAAATCCTTTGCCACCCCAAAGATCTGTAAAGATAATTCTCTTGTAGGGGAAATTACAATTACTCCAGTTCCTTTTTAACGATAAGTATCCCATTAAACAATTAGTAAAAATACATAAAATTGTTACTAATTATGACTTAAATTAATACAATAAATTTACCATTCCTTGGCATGAATTTTAATTTATGAAGAAGTTCTATTGCTGGAATTAAAAATGCCAAAGTTTTTCCTATATAATCCAAAAATATATATTAATTATTTTCGCTTATTAAAAATATTTAAAAAAAACGTTAGATCACCAGATCCGGTTTTAGCTGCTCCCAATACATCACGACCAGCCATTAAAGGTGGTATGGTTCTAGCCTGAACTTCTGTCATTCTAGTAAAGCCTTTATTTTTGATGGCTTTTTTGGTTAAGTCTGAAATATCAAGTGCTTCAAAATCGTAATTAATTTCATCTTCAGGAATGTCTATTGATATAATTAGGAATTAGATCATTAGATAAAGATAAAAAATATTAAATCTAGTTTCTAAAAAAAAAAAGGTTCATACTTATTGCTTCAATTTCCGGTATGTGATTCGAATCATCGATTGAATTATTAATTTTTTGTTTTTTTCTTGCCCTATTGTCAACGTTATTAACAGTATCAACGGTGTCACCAGTATCAACGGTATCACCAGTATCAACGGTATCAGTAATATCAACGGTATCAGCAGTGTCAACGGTATCAGCAATATCAGGGTTTTTTACGTCCTTTTCTTTATGCTTTTTATTTTTGCTCGTTCTTTTTCTTTTCTTCCCACTTACCATTTCAAATGTCACTATTCGAACGTTGAACGGATTTTTTTTACATAGTAAATTTCGGGCCTACATCTGTAGTAGTACAGATTTTAGATTAACTAATTTAACCAATCACAAAAGTGATCTGCATTTACTAATTTTCGCCTCACTTTTCTGTATTTTTGATTGGTCGCAGGTAAATATCACCCTGATTGGACAATCATACTTTTCCGACTTTCCGAATTCCGTTGGCTCGATTCGCCTTTAAAGTCTCCGATCCTGCCTACTAATCTTAAGTATACGATAATCTTGATTATTTGGTTTTTTTTCGATTTTTTTTTTTCACGATTTTTTTTTTTCCGATTTTTTTTTCGATCTTTTTTTTTTTTCGATTTTCTTTCTTTTTGATCTTTGATCTTTTCTTTTTTTTTTTTATTTACTGTCTTTTACTAATGTTTTTTTTTCTCTTTTGTAGGTCATATGCTTCTCTGGGAAGGGTTAATGGAGATCGGGATTGAGATCTTGAACTTGGATCTGACACCAAGATAAGTACCAGTTCGCATTTTTCTTTTTTTGTCATTTTTTAGAGTTGTTACTAATGTTTTTTCTTTTTTTTATAGGTCTTGTGCTTTGCTGGGAAGAGTTAATGGGAACCATAATTGAGATCTTGGATTTGGAACCTGGTATCAAGATAAATACCCAGTTCATGTTTTTTTTTCTTTGTTGTTTTTTGGAGTTGTTACTAGTGTTTTTTCTCTTTTTTGTAGATTTTCTGTTTTGTCAGAAATGGTTAATAGGGACCAGAATTGAGATCTTGAACCTGAAATTGGTATCAATATAAATATCAGTTTATGTTTTTTTTTTTTTTTGTTATTTTTTGGAGTTGTTACTAATGTTTTTTCTTTTTTTTTGTGGGTCTTGTGTTTTGTTAGAAAGGGTTAATTAAGATTAGAATTAAGATCTTGAACCTAAAATTGGTACTAAGATAAGTTCAGTTTATATTTTTTCTTGCTTTATCATTTTTCAGTACTGTTACTAATACTTTTTTTTTGTAATTTTATGCTTTGCTAGGAAGGGTTAATTAGAATCAGAATTGAGATCTTGAATTCAAAATTGGTACTAAGATAAGTATTAGTTTATGTTTTTCTTTTTTTTGTTATTTTTTAGAGTTGTTACTAATGTTTTTGATCTTTTTTATAGATTTTGTGTTTTTTTTAGAAGGGTTAATTAGAACTAAGATTAAGATCTTAAACTTGAAATTAGTATTAAGATAAGTAATAGTTTGTATTTTTCTTTTCTCTGTTGTTTTTTTAGAGTTGTTACCAATATTTTTTCTAGATTTTGTACTTCATTATGAAGGATTAATTAGGATCAGAGTTGAGATTTTAAATCTGAAATTAGTACTAAGATAAGTACTAGTTTGTATTTTTTTTTTCTTTATTATTTTTTAGAGTTGTTACTAATATTTTTGCTTTTTTTTGTAAGTCTTGTGCTTTTTCAAGAAGAGTTAATTGGAACTAAAATTAAGATCTTGAATCTGAAATTAGTACTAAGATAAGTAACAGTTTGTATTTTTCTTTTCTTTGTTATTTTTTTGAAGTTATTATTAATATTTTTTTTTTGTAGGTTTTGTGCTT